CACATCCTCCTGGCACCTGGAAGCGTTCAAGGCCAGGTTGGACAAGGCTTGGAGCAACATGGTCTAGTGAGTGTCCCTGCCTGTGGCAGGGGGTTGGAATGGGGTGATCTTCAAGATCTCTTTCAACCCAAACCATTCGATGGTTCTAGTAAGTTTTGTGCCTCTTCTCCCTGTTTCACCTCCACCTCCTCCACCTCAACTCACAGCCCTCCCCAGGAATTATTCCCCTTAACAAGGTGCTGGGAGATCATCTGCCCTGTTACTCTGCCATGGCTGGAAGCAGCCAAGGACCAGGGCAGCCCATTTCCACCAAGGGTCATGTTGGGTTATCAACCCTCCTGCACCCATATGAGATGTCCACGATTTTTTGAGCAGCTTGTGGAAACCTCTCCATGGTGGTTCCCCCAAAAACACTGTCACTCCTGGTAGGGCAACCCCTCTCCAAGCTCCATCCTCAGCCCAAAATTATCCCCCACAGCCTCCCTGTTTGGCAACCACATCTCTCCTCCAGCACCCTCCTCCCTCCTCAGTGCACTCAGAACCCATGGGCACCCACAGCCCCACCAGCGCCGGGGTTGCAGCTGCAGCGTTGGCACAGGGAGAGCTGCCTCTGACGTGGGTGTTCATCACTCCCTTCCCTCTCTGCAGACAAAGGCTCCGGGGGTGGCTGTGTCTGTCACACACGATAAGTGCCCTATTTTCCCTTCCCCATCACAACACGGCACGACTCCAGCAGCAGCAGTGACACAGCCGAGCTCGCATCTGCCAGGGATGGGTCTCCAGCACCAGGAGGGAGGCAGAGAGGAGGGTGGGTGCTGAGCAGAGAGTGACACCCCCACCTACTCGGCAGCTACAACAGGAAGCAGCTCTTTTGTGGAAGTTACTAAGGTATTGGGCAATTTTTTGCTTCACTCCCTTGTGCAGAGGGGCCAGGCACAAGGGCCAGGGGAAGAACAGCAGCTCTGAGAAGGAGCCAGGGTTTGGACAGCAGAGGGACCATAGAATAACAGAGTATCCTGAGTTGGAAGGGACCCACAAGGACCATCCAGCCCAAATCCTGGCCCTGCACAGGCCCAGCAATCCCACTCTGTCCCTCAGAGCGTTGTCCAAATACTCCTTGAGCTCTGTCAGCCTTGAGGCCGTGCCCACTGCCCTGGGGATCCTGGTCAGTGCCCAACCACCCTCTGGATGAGGAACCTTTACCCAATATCCAACCTAAACCTCCCCTAACACAACTTCATGTCATTCTCTCAGGTCCTGTCACAGAGAAGAGGTTTGTGCTGCCCCTCCACTTCCCCTCATGATGCAAAATCCCACTGTAAGGAATGGGGGCAGAGCAAGAGCAGGGAAAAACAAAATAAAAGCTCTGATAAAAGCCCCAAAGCCAAGGTCCTGTAACACCAATGGCCAGGCTGGCCCCACAGTGAGAGCTGAGTCTCCCAAAAGAGGGGCAACTGCTCTGGGTAGAGCTGTGCCACCAGCACAGCAGAGCTAAAGCACACAGAGAGGGACAAGGGCAACAGGATACTTCAACATCACCAAGTCTCTTGCACAAGGATAAATCAATTTGCATTAAAAAGACCCACAACAGGAAACCATCCAAGCCCCAAGGGATACTCACCCTCCTTGACCTCATGGGCTAAAAGATTTGGTTCCCAAGACAAGGAAGATATCAGGTTCCTGGTGCTGATCTGGACTCCAGAGCCTTCTCCCAGCCCAGACTCCCCTGCCCACCCCGCAAGCTCCAGGCCACTCCCTGAGCCTTCAAACCCAACACCCCAACACCAGCACAATGCAACAGAGTGTTGCCACACCATGTATGGTTGTGACACGGCTGCTAAAAACCTAAATAAGCTGCTCTTCCAGACTGGCCCTCTGCAAATCCCTCCTAATCCAATCTGGTTTATGGCATTAAGTTGGACCCTCCCGTACTGAACGCCCCTGTTTGCACAGCAGTTGGGAAAATCCTTCTGTTTCCTTATTCCTGGTTGACTCTCCAGTGCAGAAGTCACCAGAGCTTCCTTCTCATCATGTATGGAAGTGGCTAAGGACAGGGATATGCCTGCACTCCCAGCTTCACATCCCACTGGCACATCACCTGCATGTCACATCACTGGTCTGGGCATGGAAAACCTCCCTCTGTGCTGGTGTAAAGAGCCAGACAGAGCCAGGAGTTCTCCTTTGCTGAGATTTATGTGTTTTTAAAGAGTTTTCTCCACCTTATCCAAACACAGGGGAAGACCTGGACAAGCCCTGTGTTGACCTTCAGCTTCTCTCTAAATCTCAGCTGGGATCCAGGTTACAAACCAAGCCCCAGACCATGGCAATTTGGTGTGTTGTTCACACAGAAGATGCCAGAGCACACGGATAGGTTTTGGGGATGCCCTGCCCTCCCTGAGGCCATCCCACACCTGGATCCCATTCAGGAGGACATGGCTTACCCTTCTGCTGAGCAAAGCAGAGCTTGCCACAGGCTGTCAAAGCCACGCACCTCCATGATGCTAATTCCTTCAGGGAGGAAAAACCCTTCCCGTGTCTCCCCAGGGTCCTCTCAATGAGCAAACATCTGTCACAGCACGTGTGCTAGAGTTGCTCAGCAAGGCAGGCGAGTGAGGATGAAAGTGTTATAATTACCCTCAGCCTCCCTGGAATGTGCAGAGCACCAAAAAGTTATGCCACAGAAAAGGAAACCTATTTTTTCTTTCATAAAAGGAAAGCTGAGCCTATTTATAATGGGAAACACAGATGGCTGAGCTCACGCAGGCTTGAGCAGCAGGACTGGGGGGCTCCTCTCCCTCTGCTTCCCCTCCAGACACACCCAGATCATGTTTGGCTCCACCAAACTCTCAGTACAGGAATATCCAGGGCCTGTGTGGGCATTCGTGACTGGCATTCGTGACTACCATCACTTCCTGCAAGTCTGCATGGCCCTGGCAAAGAGCTCCAGGGGAATTCAATTCCCGGTAAACCAGTCCTTGGGAGCACGGAAAACCACACGTGGCGCACCAGCAGTGGCAGAGCTGGGAGGAAGGGGGTTGGTTTTGATCCCTCCCGCCCGTGCCAGGCAGCGGGATGGGTGAGGAGCGGGTGTGGGGCTGCTGGGAGGACAAAGGTTGCAGCTCAGTGTTCTGCTGTCCCAGTGTCACGGGGCTGGGGACCTCACCAGCATCATGCGGTGGCTCCCAGAGCTGCGTGAAAGGAGCCTTGGCATGGCAGGATATCCCTTGGTTCATGCAAACCAATGGGATTCACAGGAAAAGGCAGCCTGGAACTGCAGCTCAGCACTGGGCAAAACCCCACTGTGCCTCCACCAGCCTCCCCAAAACAAGCTGTTGGTGACACCTGCAGTGCTTGTGACACTTCAGCGCTTGCCCAGCACAGCACTTGTGTCCCATGTCCCCTCTCCCTTTCCCAGCTCAGTTACTAGAAGCCATGGATAAGCATCACCTCCAACTGCACCATGTTCCTCAGGCAGAGTGTGGTCCCTCACCACTACCCCACACACAGGAGAGGAGGTGGTGGGAGCCCCAGGATCCCCAGAGCATTTGGACATGAGCACAGGACGAGTGCAGGGGATGCTTAGGAGAGGGAGAGGCCACAGCACCAAAGGGAATGTCACCAGCTCAAGGGGACAGATGACTCGAGCCCAGGAATGCAGGTGTTAAGGGCGTGACATGCTGGCAGAGGACTGTTTCCCAATTTCCTGCTTTTATTTCCAAATTCTGACAAAGACTAGGATTCCTGAGAAAGCCACCTCACCCATCCTCTACTGAGCATCCTGTTCAGGTGTGACCTCCCTGCAGACCCCCCTGCTCTCCGTGTTCTCCTTCCCAACATCACCAGCACCTCTGCAATCCCCACCTTGCAACCCAGAGCATCAGCATTGCCATCGACTGCCCTGGTCAGCAGCAATGGGCAGGAACAGGGAGGACAAAAGAACCATTGCATTTCCAGAAAGGGAATCACTTTACCCCCAGGGAACTCCATCCCCAATTGTTTTGCATTAAGAGCTTCCAAATTCATGAGCAACATAACCAAGAAAAGGATAAAAGCAATTAAATTAACTCCAGGAGCCATGAGAGGCAACTTCACCTCACAGTCCTGCAGCTCTCTGTGATGCAGCATGTTCCTCCCAATGGGATCAGATGGGATAGGACAGGTTGAGATGGAATGGGATGAGATGCCAGCCAGCCAGTGCCAGTCACCTCCAAGTGATATTTCTTAACACAGACCAAATCTACCCAAACCAAACTCATTTCAAGTTGGAGTTGGAGCAAGTTGATCTTTAAGGTCCCTTCCAACCCAAACCATTCCATGATTCTATGATTTTACTAGCACCCTCCAAAGCTGCTTCCCCAGCACAACCCCCCATGCTCTCTGGAAGTGCCTTGTGCACTGTTATTTCCTTCCCAGCTCCAGCAGCCAGCAGTGACTCCCAGCTCTCTGTTTGTGTAAAGCTCCATCACATACCGGATAACAGCCCAACAAGGAATTTATAAATATCGTCTTTGGAGGCAGTAATTGTCACTCCAGCCATCTGTTAAACTGGGACCAGGCAGCAGTGGAGGGACAAATCCAGGGAATGGATATGTCACAGCGATGCTGTGGATGAGCCTCTGAGGGGGAGCAAGGGAAATACCACAATGTGGGGTCTCGTGGGAGCTGCACTTTGATCACTGACCCCTGGGGTCACCCTTCTCACCACCCGAAAAAATGCCCAGTTTTCAAACTACACCAAATACGCCAACTGTTACCATTCCACACCTCCTCCTTGCCATGGGAGGTGCAGGTCAGCACCCAGTATTTCCTCCCAGCAGACTCCACCAGCTTTGGCAGGTGGGATCAGCTGTGACACAGGGTGACACCCACCCTCCAGGCACCCCAAGGGGTCTCTCCAGGCCCAGCTCGCTCCCCAGGTTGCACCCCAGCCCCAAAATGCCCTTTACATTCAGCCCCAGCCCGCTCCCCAGGTTGCCCCTCAGCCCCCAAATACCCTTTACCTTCAGCCCCTGGACGGTGCCTCCTGGAGCTGCTCCTTCCCAAAGTGCCTGGCAGAGGCGATGCCCTGCGTGCCCAGTCCCGGGCAGACACAGCCTGGCGTGACAGGGGCAGTTCCGCCACCATTTACCGGTGTCCAATGATTAGTTAAAGCTGCAGCTGACAAAGTAAAGGCCAAACAAGGTGAGGCCGTGATGCACCTGGTGCTTTTCCCTCTCCCCGGGTGCCACCCCGACGTGCCGATGGAAGCTCCCGGAGGCACCGTGTGCTAAAACACAGCCACAGGCAGGACTGGAAAGACCTGTTGGTGCTCCTGCTGCCAGAGCCACGAGGACACAGGGCTGGGACAGGAGGTGTGGCAGAGGCCAGCAAAGCTGGTGTCACCACCCCTCCTGCCGTCACTGACACCCTGTGCTTGGCAAAGGGTTGGAGACACTTTAGCAGCCGGCTGGATGCATCCCACATCCCAGAGGGTGAGTCCAAACCTATTTAACCCCCTGTGAGGCTGTGCCCACTAAGGGAATACAACCATTTAATCTGTCTGGACGCCCCTGGCCTGTGGCTGGAACTCCCAAATGCTTGAGGAGTAACCCCTCATCCCAAATCCAGAGTGGATGGGATGCCCCAAGGCAGCTGCTTCCAATCCTCATCTCCCCTGCTCCAACTGCAGCACGAAGTGCCTGCAAACCAGAGCAGCCAGGGGGGAAAAAACCAGGAAAAAAAAGGAAAAAAAGGTAGCTTTATTTCTCCCTGACATTTAATAACCTTTATTGTCCTCTGAGCGGCAGTTTCCCATTCCAAGAGCCAGCAGCACGGCTGATCTTCCTCCAGGCTGGAAACTCTTTGGAGCCTGGCAGCTGCCCCATCTCCTCACCCTGCACTGACAGCCAGGAACCCCAAAGGGTTCAAAAGGCACAAAACAGAAGGAAACGCTGTGGGATGCTGGGATTGGGCTGTCTCTTCCGGAGCTCACTGTAAACCCTTCATCCCTGCTGCATCGCACAGCTCCGGGATTCACCCCACAGCATTCCCAGGCTGCTGGGGGTATTTTTCAGCACTGAGGTTGTACAAAAGATTCCAGGGACACAGCGGAGCATCCGACAACACGAATGAGGTATTTACCAGGCGAGGGGAAGAGTCCCTGACAACTCGCAGGAGGCAAAAGCAGGAATTAATGGTGCTGCAATTCCCACTGCCTCCGTCATTAGGGAAAGAAAATGCATTCGAGCAGCCTCACTCGAATGCACAAAGTAATTTGTTTTGAATTTAATGTCGTCCCGCTTCCTAGAGATGGGCTGAAGCTGGGAAAAGCCTCTGGTTGTATCAGCCATGCATCAGGGAAGATGGGAAGCAAAGGAGGGGATTTGAGGAGTTTTATAGAGGGGAAAACTCAGCTAAACCTGTTCCATGCTGGTGCTGCAAGAGGCTGTGGCTGCTAAAGTGTTACAGACATCATCACCCAGAGCTGCTGGCTAATAAAATTCCTAAAATCAGCTTAATATTGAATATAATTTTTTTATGAAGGGTGTCAGGAAGGTTTTCTCCTGATCACCAAACTCTGCACCACTAAACCAAACGTTGCAAGACAGCGGTGTCGCCTCACCTGAAAGCACAAGTTTTGGGGAGGACAGGAGAGGGAGGGGGGAAAACCCAGTTTTACCTGGGATTTAATCCTCTACTGGAGCCCTGAGCTTTGCACAAGGAGGTTGGGATTTTCCCCAGCATGACCTGCTGTGTTTCCTCCTCGGGGCCTCTTGTTTGCACAGGCGGCTGGAAACGTTTCCTCCTCCCGGCGCCATGAAAAACTCCGGGGGGAGCAGCCCGGATGGGCACCCACATCCCCGACTTCCCAGATCCCCAAAACACCACTAATTCAGGAATCAGATCGGCCCAGATCACACCCCCCCCCCTAAAACCTGCAGAGCTCCCCTGCACCTCCTGCTTCTGGCTTTTAATCCAAGAGCACGGCGGGGCCGTGTCAGGGTTGGTAATTCAAGTCAAATCTCCAGGTGCTGCTGGAATACAGAAATAATAAAATACAGACCTGGGGGTCCCACGGCAGCAAAATCGCTGGGTTTTTTCCTCCAGGGCTGGAACAAGGAAGAGATAAACCACGCTTGTTCCAGAGCACAGGCAAACAGCTGCTTATCACCACGTTTGCAGCCTCAAGGCTATTGAACAGTGTCAGGAAAAGTATTATTCCTCCCCGCTCGCGGGAAAGTTTCTATTTTTGGCCCCTCCGTCACAGGGAGCTGCTGCCTGCACCCGCTCTGGGCTGGGAGAGCAGCCAGCCCTGCATCCCCCAGGATCCCTGCAGAGCCCCTTCCTCCCCCCTGCCAAACAGCTCAATTTTGAGTAAAATAGAAACAGTTTTGGTTAAAACTTCAGTTCACTTTGATTTGATTTTTTTTTTGTTTGTCTTTTTGCCCTTGAAAGTGCATCTCTTCTGGGAGATCTCATTGGCATCCCAGGGGATGCTCGCCTGGCTCGGAGGTGTGACCCAGCCTAGAGAGGAGAAGGCTCTGGGGAGACCTTAGAGCTCCTTCCAGTGCCTAAAGGGGCTCCAAGAAGGCTGTAGAGGGACTTTGGACAAGGGCCTGGAGGGACAGGACAAAGGGGAATGGCTTCACACTTCAGGGAAGGGTTAGATGGGATATTGGGAAGAAATGCTTCCCTGGGAGGGTGGGGAGGCCCTGGCACAGGTTGCCCAGAGAAGCTGTGGCTGCCCCATCCCTGGAAGTGTCCAAGGCCAGGTTGGACAGAGTTTAAAGCAACCTGGTCTAGTGGAAGGTGTCCCTGCCCATGGCACGAGGTGGAACTGGATGGTTTTTAGGGTCCCTGCCAACCCAAACTGTTCTGGGATTGTATGATACCTGAAGGGCAGCTGCAAAAGGGCAGAGCCAGACCTCATGCTGGACTTTCCAGTGATGCTTCAGGGGGTTCAAGGTGGAAAATGGTGGATTCTGTGTCCTTGAGGGGAAGGAAAAAGACGCAGCTGATCAGAGCCAGTGCTGGTGACAGCCCTGCATGATGGGTAAGACACCGCCAAGTCCTTCTGCCAGCATATCTCTGACAGTCTCCTCCCTGCACAATTCCCTTGGCCAGAGGGAAGAGATCCATCCAATTCATCTCTCCAGTGGCTCTACTTCCCAGATCTCACCAGCTCACCTCAGCCACAGAGCTTCCACCAACCACTGCAGTGCCCAAATCCAAACCGTCAACACATGGAAAAAGCACAGTTTTGATGATTACGTTCTGTAGAACTGCGAGATCTCTAATTGAGGGTAAAATTCCATCCAGGGTGCATTTCAGCACTGAAAATAGCACAATAAATTAGCTCAGCTTTTTCCTGGTTGACTCAGCTAATCCTTCAGCCGCCGACAGACAGATTTGATTGTATCGTCTCTCCTTGGGCTCACTTAACGCCAAGGCCAAGTCGTGGCAGCTGCAGCAGATCTCTGCAGAGCTGCTGCCTGCAATATATAATCTGCCTTTATTTCTGGCTGCACCACGGCTCGGCAGCAGAGCTGAACAGAGGTCGCTCCCGCTCCTGGCTTGATTTATGAATATGGATTTTGTTGGTTAAGCCATTAGGAGCGGTGATGGAGCAATTCCGCCTACATCCTGCGTGCCTCATTTGGAGCCCGCTCCGCAGAACATTCCCCGTGTCTTCCCCCTGCAACGCTGTTCATGCAGGGAAGATTATATTAAGGCTTTGTCTGTAATGCTGTAATTCCACCTTGCCTCCCTGAGCCCTCTCCAGTGGGAAACAACCCAGCCGCAGGCAAGGAAGTGGTTGGGAAAGGAGATTGCAGGGGACTCGTGCCCAGCAGGAGAAGCTGATATCCCGCCCTAGAGGCTTAAAGGAAAGTGTTAAATCTGCTGAGACCCCAGCGGGGACCCTGCTCTGGCTGTTTGTGGTGCTGCCCCAGCGCCTCCATCCATCCCAGGGGACCTGGGGATGCCTCAGCTGGGGTAGCCGGAGTGGGGGGATCCATCTGGCTCTGCTCCGTGGGCAGCTCCCCTGAGAGCAGTACTTAAATCCCCCAGGCCAAAGCACGGGAGAGGAGAGTTACCATCGCAGCTCACTGAGCGGTCGAGCATCGCTCCCCGTGGAAGCCCAAACCGGTTAGATCCCTCTCCCAAGGTCGTATTCCCTGTTCCCGGGTCAGCACGTCCCAGCCCCAATCCAAAGAGCTTTGTACCAGCACGGGGTAAGAAACAGGCTGTGCCCGAGAGGCCTCGCTGTGCAATTAGAGAAAACAAAGAGGGAGAGGGGAATTGTACGTCCAACCCGGCAGGGGCCGGGGTACAGCTCCTGCTTCCTGGCTCCAAGCCGTGTTTTTCCCCAGCGCTGCCGTATCCACTTGTTTTGGAGAGGAAAAGGCTCCCCCCCAGCTGTCCCCATGTCAGGCACCGTGTGGTACAGGGCCAATTTGGCACCTTCTCCCTAACGAACGAGCACCAGCCAAGATGTGGTCATGGATGAAACAAGCACGTTATCCATGCGGGAGCCTTTGGGAAGGGTCCCAAGCGAGGGCAGGTTTCCCTTTTACAGCAGGCAAGATGCTTTGAAAGGTTCCCAAGGACTATCCAAGACCCCTCTTTTCCACAGCGGCAGAAAATTAAATTTCCGTGTTATTTATCCAGGCAACTCACAGAACTCCTAAATGGAGCAGATCCGTCACAGCCACCCAGCTCATCACTCAGCAGCCATCCCCTCCTCGTTTGTTTTTAATTAGCAGCAACACGCAGGGGCTGAGCCAGGCAGGTAACGGAGCTCGGCTGCTCCAGCCGGGATCACGGAACGTCAGGCAGCTGGTTGCAAATCACCCCACTAATAGGCTGGGAGCAGGGGTGGGATAAACACACTGGAGCTGGTAACAAGGTCACTGCCAAAAGGACACTTGCTCCGGGAGCTCAGGTGTTATGGAAATGAGGATTGAGGGACACGGGGTCAAACGAGAGTGTGGGAAGAGCTGTGACTGTGGGCACGGGGTGGGTGGGGAGATGTGTCCCAGGTCGTGACTAATTTTTGTTCCTGCGGGTGAGGCAAGGTATGAGAAAGCCCCAGGGAGAAGCCAGCCGCTGGGGAAAATGCTTCCAAGAGAGGTGAGACACAAAGGCTGAAAGGGAGAGGGAGAGGGGAGGGAATTTTGGGTTGTGCCCCAGGTACTGGAGCGACAGACCGAGACAGGATGATGGGAACTGGTTTGCTTGGGAGCGGGTGGGAAGGGGTGGGTGGTGTGACAGCACAGGGGGGGAGCAGGAAAGATGCTTCTCCCAGCCTGACCCCGGAGCAGCCCACATTCCTCACTGG